CAGCTCCACATCCTTAGTGTTGATCGCGTTGCCGTAGAGGCCCGTTGCGATCGTGTGGACGATCTGCCCCAGCTGCGCCGGCGCCAGCAGCGACAAGCGATCCGCCGTGGCCAGCGACAGGGCCAGCAAATACGGCGTATTGTACAAGTAGTTGAACAGATCCTCATAGGCAAGAGCGTGCTGGAATTGTTGAATTGAAACAGAAAACATTATTATTCATTGAAGAGAATTTCAGAAAAATTTCTGTTTATGTATTTCTAGTCGAACTCCTTGTCTAACAGATGTTTATAAGTAAATTAAATTCAAGGAAAATATAAGCTCATATATTTCTATATTAAAATATATCTAAATAAATATTCCTAATTGAATTTAATTTTAAGACAATTTTAGCTAATTTATTTCCATTCTAAAATATTCAAATGTGTAAAACAGAAAAACGTTCCTAGTTCTATTTCTAATCTAGATGATAAGCTATATCGATATATGTATGTATATACTTATATACGTAATTCCATGTTCCTATCTCTTTGATATCGATAAGAATCAATTTTGAGCTTTGTTTAAATAAACGGTATAAGCGAGCAATTGTTGAGGGTATCAGAAGACATATCATATTTATATATTAAAGTCTGTCTAACTAATCAGCTGATAATAGCTGAACTATGTAACTTGGATAATATAATATAATAGTTCCCAGTTGAGTACATACAATCTAACGATGTAGAGCTATATGCCTGCAATGGTATCGTATACTCGTAAACGATGCCAACTCTATGGACATATCAAAGCTAATTAGCAATACATATATGGCAAATGCCAACAAGTCTGGTCGGAAGTGTCTGACTAAGAAATACGCCGAGCTATTCTAATCTTCTATACATGACACGCAACACTCGCTGCTGCTTAAATCGACTCCGCTGGTTATCCTGATCAAAATTATATACTATATGGATTCACTTCGCCCTTCTTCCACTTCTATCTATTATAAACTGTAATATCATAAAGCCAGTCGCAACTGGAATTTGACTGGCATAGCCTATAATATAGTCGCCTACGATACAGTTGCTGATAGCCATTACAAATTTACGATTATATTTACAATTTACGACTTAGAGTTACCGACTTCCATTTGAGCTAAAAAGTTTCCTGAATGTAAATAACTACGCATAAAGCAAGCATCTACGCTGTAACTGTATCAGAGCGAAACAAAAACATATTTCCTCCATTTACATGGGATGTTCTTTGTTGTCTGGGCAGTCCAGAGCCAGCTGATATGCATGGATATACACCCTATACACCATATATACATCGTGTTCATACAGACTTCTGTCAATGTCAGCTCCCCCTTTTTCTCTCTCCCTCTACCATATTTAGTTGTTACACACCTCGTAGGGCAACACCTTCTTGGCGTCCACGAATTTCGGATTGTCGTAGGTGCTCGCACGTCGGCAGCAGAGGAACGGATCATGATCCGTTCTGGCCAGCAGCAGATCGTGCAGGTTCTGTCTTTGTTGGGCACAGATGTACGCCAGCTGAACAGAGATCAAAATGGATTGGATATAGATCATTAAGGTGAAGCAACAATGAGACGTGACATTCTTGATAAACAAATATGGGTGCGCACCTCGGTTATTGTCGTCGCATTCGTCTCCAAGGCTGACGTGAGCTGTGCAAACGCCGCCTGTTCATGCTGTATGAAGAGCTGTTCCTGCCGCAGGGTCCGTGCCAGATCCATGATCTCCAACAGATTGCCGCCAGCTGTGGGCTCCATGGTGAGGCCCTTGCTGTGGAGTCGAACGAATTTGAGACATTATAATTATATTTCATTTGAATTCCATTTACTACTATATTTTATTTTATAATATTTTATTTTATAATATATTAATAGAAGGAAATCAAATTATTCCCATTTTAAATTTGTATACACCAAAAATTTTCTTGGGAATTAAATTCTCTTTGATCTCTCAAATTGCATGACTGGATATTTTATACATATTGTATTATATATAATATGTATATATTTATTTATAGTTGATATCTTATTGTATCACAACTTTCTCTGATGTCGAATTGGAAAACTATTTGTATGGCAATTAGCGCGCATTTGTGATGCCAATGGGCTGACGGATTCACTTACATTTATCTGATAGTACAGCTGGTATATGTATGTGAAATAATACATACACATCTACATATACATATGCAATCAAACTAATGTAGCTGAACAGCATCAGCTCATGCAAAGCGTTACTGAAATGAGCTATTGCCTGAGCTTATCAACCTGTTTTTTGTGTTTTTTTTTCTTTCCTGAATTTGACGACGAGTCCAAAATTCCATTTGCAAATTACAAATCTGTTAAACATACAAGATTTCAGATATATGTATAATGATTCCTAGCTTAAAAATTAAATATCTATGTATATACATATCTCTGGGAGTGAAAAATGAAATTGTGAATTTGGGGCATATAATGGAGTGTCTAAAAATAAACAAATGTATTTTGCCATCACAGAGAGAAAGAGAGAGACAGAAGGAGATATATATGTATGTATATACATATATTGCAATGTTTTCATGAGCAAATAATTGGGCCATAAATATTGTTCTCTGGGAACCTGAGTCGATCATACAAAGTAAACGGAACTCGTGACGAATATGTGAAAATGCTCACATATTGCGATTATTATCATTATCTGGGAAAGTGTTTGGATCGCCTCCATGTTATGTAAAGCAGTAGATATGTATGTGTATATAAATATAAGTATGCTATGGTCTGAAGAGCTTTGACATTTTGGAACTGATTTAACATTTGGTATACAGGAAAAAGATCATTAATGGCAATTTATCATGCAATCATTAGTCAAACGCATTATATAATATATGTAGTACGTCTCTTAAGTTATAGTAAATTTTTGGACTGCCTGTAAAAGTGTCCGAATTTATATTGGCAAACTGGACCTGGAAATTAGTTTGGTTTGTATGTGATTTTTGTCGACTTGTAGACTATCTTATCGATATCAGAGCGCAAGTTTCGTTGACTTCCAAGTCTTAGCGAAGCTTTACACGCCTAACAAATTAGATAAACGCTATGACCAATTTGCAGGTAACCGGCAAAACAATGACTGGGCTGCAATTGAAACTGTTTTATAAATACATATGTAAATATAACAGTGTATGGGTGTATAACAATATGTACATACATATATGTATATGTATGTAACATATATTTTGCACAAAATGGCAAAATTAAAGGAATGTGAAAACAAAAACCAAACAATACAGATTTAGTGCGCTCATTACACACACACACATACATACACTCGCACACTCATACACACCCACACACACAGCGACACAGACACCCCGTAAAGGGGGCGTTTAAATGTGCCAGCAGATTGGGGGTGGCGATCTCTCTTTGTGCACACACATATAAATACACAAACATACACACATTCACATGTGCATGTGTATGTGTGTGCTTAAATTTGTTATTTTACGTACCATGCACTGAATACAACGAACGCGAATGACAATCAAAGCGTACGCGCCAATCGCCAAATGAATGGAAATGCAATAGCAATCGCTATTGGATGGGCAAAGGGAGAGCAACAGCAAAGAGGAAACAGCGAGAATAGGCAAGCAAGTGAGCGAGCGAGAAAGCAAGTGAGAGCACGCATTAGGCGAAGGCCAAGTGCTTCTTTGTTGTTGTAATTGTTGTTATTGTTGGCGCTGCTGCTGCTGCTGCGGGCGCTACTGCTGCTGTTAATGTCTTCTGTATTGCCGTAAAGAAAGCCAACGGACTTATGAATGAAAGTGACGCGTTACAACAAATACGAGCAAAGAGAGTGAGAGGGACAACTGCGTCATAACAAACCAATAATAAAGCATACGCATGTACACACATACACATGTATATATGTATATAGCGTAGCTCATAAAATTGTCTTACTTTAAAGTTAGGCGCTGACACACTCATACACAACAGTAGTTCTTAGGTATGGTTATTTGCCCATGTAATTAGCTAGTCATTTATCATTTATTGTCACAATACACACGAAACACACAAAAGACAAAACGAAGTGGACGCCTCCGCAGTCAGCAATACAACTGTTTTATAGCGCGTGTGAAGCTGCGCTGAAGTTGTGTGGGTAAGTTTGCCAAACGCTTCACTGTGGGTTGCTGCTGCGGCTGCTGCTGCACATTCACATTTACATTCGCATGCACACAACACACACATCCAACGAAACAGACTGATATCTTTTCGACTGCGTCTGTTGGTTTGGGCTCTGCTTACTTTTGGATTTGCTGTATTGGATTTGTTTAATTGATGTATTCGTTGACTGTCTTAGCAATTGATAATTGCAATATAGGACTAAATATATATTTAACAATAATAAAAAAAAAACAACAACAAAATTAGTTAAATATCAACCACACGCGACGGCCAAATAGAAATAACAAAAACAATCAACTCATTACTTCTACGATTACATATACACTGAAGTGGAAAATAAACTGCAACCTGTTATCGATATATTTGAACAACTATCTGTGCGGCCAGTCTGCCTTTTGCAGCCAGTGCTACCAGATCTCCAGGGCTTAAAACAACCAAAACAACAATTCAAAGAAGCTCTATTATTATTATTGATATTTTGTTTTTACTTTTATAGCTATTCATGTAGAATTTCTGAATTTAATACTTCTAAATTCTCTATTTGGCTGATATAAGTAATTTATTGCCTTCCATTCGAATATTCAAATATTTGCCTGTCTATTTCGATGAAAAAATGCATCGATAACGTTCACCTATTGATTGTTAAATATGCAATATTTTATTTTTATAGAAATTTGACATTTATTGTTGCAACATAGCTCCCTCCAACCTCTATTTCAAATTTTTCCCAGTACTTTCCAAACGGCGAACTTGGCGGGCGAATAATCAAATCGATAGCAGATCCGACAGTGCTGTGTATGCTTGTAATACGAGTGTTTTGTAACACTATAAGATTCTAGCATTCGACAGCTGTTTGCGCTTCATTTTAGTTTGCTGTCATATTGTGAAATTTGTTCCTGAAGCATATTTAGAAAAGAATATATAGAAAAATATCATGCCTAAAGTACGCCGCAGCCGCAAACCACCACCGGATGGCTGGGAGCTTATCGAACCGACACTGGAGGAGCTGGAACAAAAAATGCGCGAAGGTATGCACAAAGGCTAAATGCCGCCTCATGTACTGCACATATACAGAGATATATAAATACATACATATATATGTATGATGTGTGGATGCAAGTGTGTATGTGAGCTGCTGGAATATTTGCTAAAATTTGAGTTTATTTACTTGCAGCTGAGACTGAGCCACATGAAGGCAAGCGCATCACAGAGTCGCTGTGGCCCATCTTTAAGATCCATCACCAGAAGACGCGCTACATCTACGACTTGTTCTATCGCCGCAAGGCCATCAGCCGTGAGCTGTACGACTACTGCCTGAAGGAGAAGATCGCCGACATCAATTTGATAGCCAAATGGAAGAAGTCTGGCTATGAAAATCTATGCTGCTTGCGCTGCATCCAGACACGCGACACCAACTTCGGCACCAACTGCATTTGCCGCGTGCCCAAGTCCAAGCTCGAGGAGGGTCGCATCGTAGAGTGCGTCCATTGTGGTTGCCGTGGCTGCTCCGGCTAAGCCCTTCACTAGAATTTTTTATACATAATTAGGACAAAAAATAGATAATTAAAAAAATTTTTTTTCTTGCTGACTTGATCGAAACTTTAGTTTCTATGTAAATAGCTCGCATTGTTCGATCGCCAATTCCGCAAAGATCTTACCAAAATGTAACTGAATCGTATGGTACAATGACAATTGTTTAGTCACTTTGTATGCAATATATAAATTATATACTGTTTTATATATGTATTTTGTGAACTAGTCCATAAGTATTTAATATAATACAAAAAATATCTACAATTGCAAAAACAATTTATATGTCAAGTGTTTTTATATTTGTGGGAATTCCAGAGTTGCAGACGTTTGAGCAAAAACTGTTTTAGCTATACTAGAAACTATCCTGACCAGCAATAAATTCAAATTGTTTTTATTGAATCGAGATCTGTTGGTCTCAGGCCCCTATATCTTAGTCTGATATCGATTTCATATAAAGTTTTTCACGAATTTAACCAATAGAGTGCTCCCATGGGCAATGCTGAACTAGATGATATCTTGTACTGAATATGCTGATCTTCTAGACACACACATACACATGTATGTTTATACACATACACACAGCACATAGAACTGTGGCCCAGCTCCTGGCCTCTTGAAGTTTGCTCTTTACTAACGTGGGTTTTAGAAGCACAATGAGTTGTTCTAGGCATTGATAGGTAGAATTGCAATGGATGAATCAGGTAGGAAACTCTATATAAATTCGAATGTAGTACATAAGTAATTTATATTAATTTTAGAGATAAGGAAAAATGTAAAGCTAACTAAAAAAAAATAAATAAATAAATTACTTTGAAAAAAAAAAATTAAATTAAATAAAAATAATAATAATAAAGTAAATAAAAATAATTCAATCAAAAACAAGTAAGAAGGCTCCAGTCGAGACTGCTCGACTGGGAGATACCCTGAACCCTCCAAGCTGATATTCTAATCATTCTGCACTTCTTCTATGCACACATACATACACATGCACTTATAAGCACGCGCTCTGCTAACTGCGCAGTAAGCAGCGGCTACGCTTGGGCTGCGCTGCAATGTGGGCAATATTATGAGAATTTATTAGTTGAATAATTTCTCTTGTAGTAAAAGTATCTTTATGAAACTTTCAGAATGTGTTCATATAGTTAAAATGTGTGTACATTCCAAAGCACAAGTCTCTAGTACTTGAAATGCGTTTTTTACAAATTGGGGGCGAAGGGGGCGTGGTATCCAAAATCTGTAAATTACAAAATCTTTGTGTCTATTAACTCTATATACAACGCAAATTTGAAGTCTCCTGGTTGAAAAGTGTTCAAATTAGGCTGAAAAAACAATGTCGATTTTTCGATTATTCTCGATAAAAAAGTTATCGGATGAGTTATCGAAAAAATAAAGCAAACTCGTACTGCCTATGATATACACGAGTATGCATGCCAAATTTCAGCTCTCTAGCTCTTATAACTTCTGAGATCCTTTTGCTCATACGGACGGACGGACGGACGGACGGACGGACGGAGGGACGGACGGACGGACGGACGGACAGACGGACAGGGCTATATCGACTCAGCTCGTCGTCCTGATCAAGAATATATATACTTTATGGGGTCTGCGATGATTCCTTCTGCCTGTTACATACTTTTCACAAAACCATTATACCCTGATTTCCCATTTTCAATGGGTTCAGGGTATAATAAAAATAATAAATTTACAAAAATAAATATTTAATAGATATAACATGAAAAGTAAATATAAACTAAGAAAATGAATTTAAAAATTAAATTAAATTAAAATTTACACCTGACATACTTAAATTTCAATTTGCTAAAATACCTCGTTCAAGGTAAAGCATTTATGGCCTTAAGTCCTATAAAACGAATTGTGCAAGCACCTCTATATATAGTTTAACTGAAAACAAACGATATCTTTATTTTTCACAGCTAAAACAGAGATACTTAATTCATCTATATCGTATATTGAAATATTGTAGAGCTTTGTGCACAGGCGCTCACCTTGATGATGGCCATGTCGCCCACGGCGCTAAGCGTAAAACTCCGAGAGAAGAATGAAAAAGAAGAGTTGTCAAGGCTCAAATGAATGCCTCAAAATCCTATTTTATTTCCATACACACACTATGTATATAGATTTATATATGCATGTGTGTGTGTGTGTGTGCAAAACATGTTTTGCCATTTTGTAGTAAATTCTCGCCACAAATCCTATTGGGTGGGCGTCCATTGCTGCCTGTCAGTGTGTGTGTGTGTGCACACCCACACCCACACACACGCATACACACACGTATCGTATATTTTAATTTAATGCCCTGAGCAATTTATTACTGCGCTGACATAATTCAAACTCAATGGCATTGGCATTGGGGGCTTCGGCTTTACAATGTGAAGCTGGGTTTGAGGCAGCCGGCGAACTGTCGCTTTGTGTGCGTATTTATGGGGACCTGGACTTGACTGAAGTGGACTGGACTCGCCTTCAAGTGTCGGCCACTGCTTGGTGGGTGGAGGGGGGCGTGGTGTGGCCTCTGTGCTGCTTTGACTGGGTCACAATTCGAAAAAATGATTATAAATGGCTTTTTAATTATACTTATGACCAGTTTTTCTCTCCTTCCCACTCCCACTCACTCTCTCTTTCTCTTTTTTTTTTCTATCTCTTTTGGCAGCCAACTGGAAATAGAACCGCATTTTCTATCATCATATTTTGTATTATAATACAGCTTCAATATATTTTGTGTGTGTGTGTCTGCTGCTGACAGAGCTCAGCTCAAGGCTTTGGGATAATTATATTTGGTCTAACTTTTTCCATCAGACTCTCAGCTCTTCTCGTGCTCTTATCCAAATGAATTTTCGTTCAATTGTTGATGTATGCCCATAGATATCTATTATATCGTATTAGCCAGTCTTGGTCGAGCTCGTTAAAATTTTTGAAGTTTAATGACGCCTCCGAAACCTAATGAAGTGGTAAGTGCATTTAATTCGAATAGAATAGAGCTGAAAACACGGAGTAATTCTGAGCACGAAAGTTATTCTAAAGCGGGTCATATAAGTGGACAAAATATTTCGCTAGCTGAAAAGGAATAAAGGGGAAAGAAACTTTTCAGAGACTTATCCTTATCGTTTCATTTGCTGCTTACAGGGAGAGTTGAGGGAGAAAGGCGACGAAAGAGATATAGAGAAATAGAGCTAATGAAATACTGGCATACAGACATACAGAGAGGGCTAGATTGTATAGAGAAAGCATAAAGAGGCAAAATGAGCGAAAAGCAAAGAAAGGAAAATCAGTGTAGCAGAACGAGAGTTATATACAAAGTAACTGAGAAATCAAAAGATAATCACATAGAGCGAACCATAGAGAGTGTTAGAGATTGTAGAATGAAAGGGAGAATTGGAATGATAGAGATAAGAACTCATGCTAAATGAGAGGAAAGTATAAGTATGCTATGAAGCACAGAGAAAATGAGAATGAGATAAAACCAAAGAGAAGAGTGATGATAAGCGATTTGAAGTAGAGGGAGAAAAAGACAAGGAGGCCGACAGCGGGAGAGTATGCTGAAAAAGACAGAGTATGGGAGGAATACATATAGAGAAGAAGATAGAAATGTGAAACATTATATGATATGTGAGTAGTAAAGAACTGCATAAAAAGAGAGAGAGACAACAAATACACATATAGAGACAGATAAAAACCTATTTAGCATATTGCTTGATTTGATTGAAAAACACATCTGCAATAGATTATGCGAGCCTCGATGACATATATATATCCTGGTATTTATTTATTTTTTAAGGCCTCGCCTCATATTTAAACAAAGTGGCGACATATTTATTTTACAAAAGTTTCACTTAAATTGATGACATTCTGACTTATTTGGCCGTTTAAAAGGTTTCCATTAAACGTGGCATTTTTCGGGCGCAGCTACAGTAATTGAGTTGCCTGTCAGCCACTATTGAGGAGTTCTCTTGTTTTCGTATTCGTTCCTTTTGGGCTGGGTGGGGGAGGTGCTGTTGTTTTTATTGTGAGGCCAGGGGCACTTAATTTAATTGTTGTGCCGAGTTCTACCTGCATGCAATCCAATATCCATGCGGCAACAGGCAGCAACATGTCCGCCAGGCCTGACAAATCGCTGCGACGCGACCAATCCATCAAATCAAAAAAACTGTCTACCTGCCGTGCCACTTGCCACTTGCCGCTGCCGTTGCTGCTGCAGTTGCAGAGCCAACGAGCCGCAGGTTAGAGCCAGAGACCCAGACGCATGTTGATTGGTTTATGGCTATTCGCTTATCGCAGTCGCAGTCGCAGTTGCAGTTGCCTCTACACTGCCCCTGCTGCATCAACAGCACACTCTCTTCCTCCCTCTCTCTCGCTCTCTTTCACTTGTGCTCTTATCAATGTGTGCGAATGTAAATGCCAGTTACTCAGCTGCTTCACTGTTGACAACCCGCCGATAAGCCACACTTGAACTTGGCTTCGTGTTGACCCAAAACTGTTTGCTTAGCCAACATCTGAGTAGATGCTTAAGCAAAGCAGATTCAATTCGATTTTATATATATAACGAATACATGAAAGCTATATGCACATATTGTATATATGTATACACATAATTTTGTCTTTTTTGAATATTTTTCAGTCTATAATAGATTTAGACGCTGTAGAATGCAATGCTTGGATTTTTAATAGTCTACAAAGTTTTTTTTTTTTTGTAAAAACTGATGAATTAATATTATTAATAAGCTATACATATAATATCATTAGCTAATAAACTAAAGGTTTCTCCGTACACATGGATATATTTCCATACCAATGTTATTTTTATACAAATAAAAAAGAATACAAAAGATTGAACATAATTTTTACAAAAGATGCTTTTCTGTTGGGATTTCTTTAGGTCTTACAGGAAAAAGCCTTTCAATAAAATTTTGTTGTCTATATATATTATTTTTGTGCTAAGCAGATTATATTTAGATTGTATTAATATTTTCGTAATTTTAATGGCGTTCCCTGCTTCGACCCAATTTATACATCATATTATAAGCTTAATCTAATTATTGCCTATAGCTTATTCCTATATCATTTACACACAGTTTGAGCTCTTGCATGAAAATCTTTGATATGTA